ATAGGCGTCACGGAGCACTACGTCTGTGGCCTCGCAGGGCTTGACCTCGACAAGTACGGTGGCCGCGGTCGCAGACCAGAGCACGGTTGGGCTCGAGCCTGCCCGCCCTCGGCGCCTCGCATTCCGAAGGTGAGCAGGCCTGCGATGTGGTTGAAGGGCGTGGCCCTTGCTGCCGCCGACGGGGTCAGTGATGGTCCCATCCGCCGAGTGCGAGGTCAGCGAGCTCTGGCGCGCAGAGCGCAGCGGCCACCTGCCAGCACGTGGTGCCAGGCGGTGGCGCTTCTCTGCCGCGCGCGTGAGTACATGGGCAGCGTCGAACTGGAGTGCTTGGCTGGGATCACCAAGCAGCTCGCCGACGATGCCGTCGCTACCGATGTGAAGGAGTCGAAGGCGCGCTTCGGGGATTGGATCGACGGCAACTCTGCTGGCGGGGGGGCTGCGCTGCATGCTTTCACGAAAGAGCCTGCGGTGAACGCCTCCGCGATCCAAGGGGTTGCAGCGCCGCTGGGCAAGATGGAGGCGGTCAAGGCGCTGGTGTGCGAATGGTCGGAGTACTGGCGCACCACGGCCGAGCCTCCGACGCTGAGTTGGCCTGCTGACCTTGGCGAGCGTCCCAGGCGGCCGACCCCTGATCAGCTACGTCGAGTATGTGCAACCTTCAAGGTCCACGGAGGGCGTAGTTTCGACAGTTTCAACCCGCGCGACTTCGGCGTGCTGGACGATGCGGGCCTGGAGGCGCTCGCAGATGTGATCGAGTTGGTCGAGCAGCAATGTTGTTGGCCTGACTTTGTCAATGAGCTTGCATTCGTACCTAAGCGTGAAGGTGGAGTGCGGCCAATCGCCCTTCTTGCTGCGCTTGTTCGAGTGCATGGGCGGTTGAGGAGGCCCATAGCCACAGCGTGGGAAGCCACCATCGCGGCTACTGGTGGGCGTCGGCTGGCAAGAGTTGTGATCGTGCAGTGTGGCAACAGTTGGTATGGAGTGAGTGGGTCTCCATGAAGATTGCTGAAGATCCCAGCGCCGACTGGGCCACTGCAACGCTAGTACTTGACTTGTGGAAGGCCTTTGAACAGATCAGGCATGGCAGCTTGTTGAGATTGGCTGAGAAGTTTTCCTTTCCTTTGTGGTTGTTGAAGCTGCAACTGGATATGTATACCAAGGCCCGTGCTCTCGTGTTGGATGGTGCCGTATCTGATCTGGTTTACGTGCGCCAGACCGTGCTTGCAGGCGACTCGTTTGCCACAAGTTTCATGAAGCTGCAGCTGATCGAGAGCGTCGATCGCACGCAGCAGGCGGTGCCCACGGCTTCCCCCGCCATTGTGGTTGATGGTTTGGTTCTGCAGCGGCACGGCGGTGAGCATCGGGTGATGCGAGACATCGTCTTGGCGGCGCAGGTGCTGGTGAACGGTCTGAGCAGGGACAACATCCGCATCGCCGCCAAGAAGTCGCAGGTCCTTGCATCAAGCACGGCCCTCACTCACACGTTGAAGGCCAAGCTGATTACGATCGCGGGTGCTCAAGCAGCCAGGCACGCGAGGAACCTCGGCGCTGATTTTGCTCAAGGACGCGCGCTTGTGAGACAGGTGCGACGTGCGCGACTGCGAGCTGCTGAGCGACGGGTACCCAGAGTGCGGCGTCTATTGGGCAATGGAGGTCGACGTGCTATCGCAGCTCGTATCGCCAAGCAGGGCGTCGAGGCAGGTTATGCGTACAGCGTGAACTGCACGGGGCTGGGCGATACCGACCTCCAGTCTGCTCGGTCGGTCGCCTTCCGTTCTACGGAGGCCCGGGTAGACGGCAAGAGTCGCGCGCTCTGTCTCACGTTGTCGCCTGTGCGCGATTTCGACCCCATCTTTCGAGCCACGATCGATCCAGTCTGTATGCTGCACCGTGCCGTCTGGGACAGTTGGATGCCACAATCTATTATGTCGTCGGTGCTGGAGTGGACTTCTACGCATGTGCAGTCTCGGGCCCAGGTGCGTGGGCCAATCAGCGCGGCATCCATGTCCTTGCTGCGCGTCGGCTGGGCGGCGGCCAGCATCAGCACCTGGATCAACGCGGCTACTGGCGCAGTGCATATGCCGCTGGATTTTTCGCCGTGGTGTACCAAGCAAGTGGTTCGGAAAGCAGTTCTTTGGTGGCAGTTCCAGAAGTGCGCTGACGAGCTGCCGCAGTTGGACAACGGTTTCAACATCATGCAGCTGAGGAAGTGGATCTATCGAGGACGGCCCACGGCGTCGGAAGGACGTTACTGGCTTACCCTTGGTGCAGAGGAGCGGCGGTACGCCAGGTCGCTCATCGTCGGCGGGCAATGGAGCAACCATCGCCGCTTTCACAATAATCCTCGGTATGCGCATTCAGAGGATTGCAACTTGTGCCCTGGGCAAGCTGGCACGCTGTGGCACCGCCATATGGAGTGTGCTCACCATTGGCAGCAGGCGGAGCTGCCAGCAGCCATTGCCACGCTAAAGAGGCAGGCGGACCACCCCAACATCATCACGCTGGTCGAGCGGATGCTGCTAGTACGGCCACGGGTGGTGTGGCAGCCACCTCAGGACGAGATCCTGTCCTCTGTCAAGTGGTTGCTGGGGAATGGTGCTATGCCCTTTCACAATGATGAGCTGTTCACTGACGGTTCGGCGTTCGACCTTGACATCGATTACGGCATGGCTGGCTGTGCGGTGGTGCAGATTCCACTTGGGCCTGGGTGGTTTGACCCTGGTCCGAGGTGCGCCATTCGCGCCCTGGGATCGCCATTGATGGGGATGCACCAATCCGTGAAAAGGTGCTGAGCTTCTCGCCGTGCTCATTCTTCTTCGTCACAGCCTGGCGCCCATCACGGTGCGGATTGATGCCAGTTACGTGGTTGACGGGCTCCTGGTGCGTGGGCCTGAGGGTACTTGTGGTGCCTCCCACAGCTGGGCTTTCCTGTGGCGGATGGTGTGGTGTGCCATCGAAGATTTCGGTGGACTCGGTCCCGACGGGCGCACTGTGCTCAAAGTTAAAGGACACGGCATTCTGAGAGATGTGGGAGCGGGTCGGCTGTCTCGTTGGGAGCGTCGGGGCAGCCTTGAGGCCGACGAGTGGGCCAAGCACGCCACTCGGCCGTACGCTTTGGGCGAAGCTGATAGGACCAAGATCAGGCGGCCGCACTTGCTGGTGGACGGCGTTGTGGCCTGGGTGTCCTGTGCTGGTGTCCCTGCGTCAGCCGCCCGTGACGACAGTGACACTAATGTGGTTATCAAACTGCCGCCGAAGGTTCGTCTCAGCCTCACGGAGCACGACTTCGTGGTCGAGGCGGGTTGCTGGCGGTGCTCAAAGTGTGGACGGTACGCCGCCACCGAGAATTCCAAGCGTAAGCTGTTCAGCCTGCCCTGCATTCCACGGCCTGTGACGAGTGCCCCGCGCTCGGCCGACACGTCAGGAGCGAAATGACCTGCAGCAGCGGCGGGGCTTGCGGCGGCCGCTGCCGTTGCTGCGGCTGCTTCAGCTGCTTCGCAGTTCGGCGGCAGTACGGATGCTCCAGCTGGTAGCGCTGGAGACGACGGTGCTGCTCGGCGCGATAGTGATGATCAGCGGGCGTCAGCAGCGGCGTCGAGTGGTGCAGGCGCGGAGTCGGAGGCCCCAACGGACATGGCGAGGGCCACGACATCCGCATCACCAGCGGCTTCCGTGTGTGTATGACATGATGTTATTTCGCTCGTGAACGTGAGGGGCTCGTCCGTGAGCTTGGGAAGGATTGCACGGGACACCCTCGCAAAGGAGACAATGCTGGACGAGTTCGACAGCAGCGGAGAGACCTGATTCTGTTGGGCAAAGGTCCCAAGACTCGGAGGCCTCTCACGGGAGCTTGATTCGATGGGGCTGCCGTGTGGTTGCTGCGGCGGAGTTTCGGCTTCTGGTACATCCACATGTGAGCCTCTGAGTCCTTCTTTTATCATCGCACGCTTTGCGTGGCACCCCACTCAGTGTGTGATGTCTGTGCTTTCACGTCAACGTTCTTTGCTGTTGATTGTGTTTGTGCACGCTTCGCGTGATATCCTCCAATGCGAGCCTGATGTCACGCTTTGTTGCCCCCGTGACATAGCACACGCTTCGCGTGGTCTAACCTGGACCGTGCTTTGCGCTTCGCGCGACGCTCGCCCGAAGGGTGGAGCTCCGCCGTGCCTTTGCTGTGGCGTGGACTGTGGGGTCCTGCCGTAGCCTTGCTTGGTTGATCGGGCCGAGGGGCTCGGTTGTGGCGGCCCTGGTGGCTGTCGTGTGTACAGCTTGGCTGTGCACACCTGCACGTTCAAAAAAAAACGCACACACGCACACACGCACACACGCACACACGCACACACGCACATACGCACACACGCACACACGCACACACGCACACCCGCACACCCGCACACCCGCACACCCGCACACCCGCACACCCGCACACCCGCACACACGCACCCACGCACACACGCACACACACACGCACACACGCACACACGCACACACGCACACACGCACACACGCACACACGCACACACGCACACACGCACACACGCACACGCGCACGCGCACGCACACGCACACGCGCACACGCGCACACGCGCACACACGCGCACACGCGCACACGGACACGCACACGCACGCACGCACACGCACACGCACACGCACGCACGCACGCACACACGCGCGCGCGCACACACACACACACACACACTCGACACACACACACACACACACACACACACACACACACACACGCACGCACGCACGCACGCACGCACGCACGCACGCACGCACGCACGCACGCACGCACGCACGCACGCACGCGCGCATGCACGCACGCACGCACGCACGCACGCACACACTAACACACACGTTTACATTCACATCCACATTCATATTCACATTGACACACACAACACACGCACATCGCCCCATCAAAGGGGAGGCAGTCACGACAATACTCCTGTTACATCACCCCTGTTGGAGGGGTCGGCCGTTGGGCAATGGTGGTGTCTCGTCTCTGCTGCCCTTGCGTGTCTGTCCCACCACGAGCAAATGCGCGCGAATCGGCGCTGTTCGCAAGAGCGAGAACGGAAACACAGAAGTCTAGCGGCATCTGATTCTCGAATCTTCCAGCGCCCAAATGTGTTTGTCAGATGCCACGAGGTGTTAAGTCAGCATATGTATCGCTTGGGGTCTGATACACACAGAAAGCGGCCCAACGAGCCGGGCGCTCGCTACGAGCTGGGCGCTCGCAAGGTGCGCCAGAACCTGCTCGGCGGAACATGTTCACGTGCTCTTTCGGCCAGAGTCATCTACAGGGCCCAAGATCTGCTTCGGGGCAACGGAGTGCGGCGCAGCCTGCGCGAATTACACAGCCTCGACAGTTCCGCAACTCTGTTTCAAAAAGGTCCGACGAGGGGTGCCAAACACACCTCAAACAGAGAACGCCTTGGCAGCCGCACCATGCTCTACTAATAGCGCCAACCATCGTAATGGTCACTAGGCCGAGCCCTCACCTCTCTCCAGCGCTAGCTCCATCTCCACCAGCTTCTGGCACGCCCCAGCCACTGCGAGGACCACCTCCATTTCGGACTGACCGAGGAAGCCCGTCTTGGAGATGCTCCACACGCCAAGCTCATCCGACTCTTTCACTGCGACCTTGAGGCCCTTGCAGACAGCCTTGAAGTCCGCCTGGCCCGACACCAAGTTGAGCCGCGCGGACACCCTAGCCTGGAACCCACCGGAGCCCGCTTTGGAAGGGTCCGCGGTGAGCACCCCCAAAGCCTCCGAGCGCGCGTACCCGCGTCCCTGGCTCTGCAAGGACTCCTGGATGGCACCCTCCGCCCGCACGAAGCGCGCGAAAGCCTCCCATATCCCTGCGCCCTGCTCGGACGCTGAGATCAGCAGGTGGTCCTCCTGGTTCACCCAGGCAGTCAGCGTGTGCGCTGCGTTCGTGAACACGCCCCGCGCCTCGGGCCAGTGCCTGCCGAAGCCCGAGGCGAGCGTGTACGGCGAGTCGGGCATGTCGAACAGCAGCCCCTCCGACGCGAGTCTCGACCGCGCCGCCTGGTCCATGCCCGCGAGCGGAGTGTACTCGCCAGCCAGGTCTCCGCCAAGCGACTTCAGCGCCCCCACGCACAGCCCGTGAACCTCTAGGCGCTGCAGCCGCGACGCCGCGGGGAGGAAGCAGGCGCCCTTGACATTTCGCCCCGCTTGCACCGAGGCCGAGACGACGAGCCTGCCGGACGGATCGAGGAGCGCACCCTCTCCCACGGCGCCCGCCGACTCCAGACCGGCAGGGTGCCGCGACCCGGTGGACGGGTCGAAGCCACCGTGCCGCGCGGAAATGACGGGGTTGAATAGGCTCTCGAAGAGCTCGTAGCACTCTTCGTCTCCAGCCACCAACCCCAGGGTCTTGACCATGGGGTGCCCCTTGTTGTCCATCCCAGGCTTGATGCACCTGGCCAGCGTCACTCCGAACTTCGTGGACAAGCCCTTCAACGACTCATAGATTGCCGGCTCGCTGCGCAGCGTCGTTGCCATGATGCTGTTGTGGCTCGCAAGGTCTGGCATTACCTCTGGGCACGCGTCCGCGGGGAAGCCCGGCATGTCGGCGGAGCCCAGCCCGGGCACATCCTCGGAAAACTCCTCCACCTGCAACACGGCCTCCTGCAAGATGCCCTCGAGCTTCCCGTTCACCAGAGCGTCAGAGAGGGCCACTCGCGCACGGTCCTTCATCGAATGAATATCGTCTTCTGGCTGCCCAGTGTCGGGCTCACGGATGCGCTGGAATATCGCCTCCAGATCCCCAGTCTGCAGAGCGTCCCTGAGGGCTACCCTTGCCCGCTCCTTCACCGAGTCGATGCTGTCATCCTCCTGCCCCGCCTGACTCTCTGAAACGATGGTCTCTATAGCAGCCTGGAGACGGCCGTCCTCCAGCGCCCCCAGCAGATGCTTCTTCGCCATCTCTCGTGACTCGGATGATTCATCCTTCTCCTCCCCGCGTTCCGGCAGCATCTCCTTCAGCACAGACTCCAGCCTCCCATCGTTGGCCGCCTGCAGTAGCGTACTTCTTGCCCAGCCTCGCACGTCCTCGATGTCGGCCTCCTGGCCCTGTGGCAGGAGCATCTGCAGCGCGGACTCCAGACTCCCGTCGTTGGCCGCATGCCCCAGCACGCTTCTTGCCCTGCTCCGCATGCGCTCGACGACGGCCTCGTCGCCGGAGAGGCTCGGCTCTGGCAGGGGGGCCTGCAGGTCCACCTCCCTGCCCTGCTGGAGCTGCGCCTCCAGGGACACGAAGTGACTCACGGCCCGGATGACGGCGTTGACCTGGTCGGCCTCGGTGGACCCCAGGGTCTGAGAGTTCCACACGCACACGAGCCCCGCTCCGCCCTCGGCGGTGGCCCTTGCGATGACGTTGCACCGCTGGCACAGCTCCTTGAACCTGGGGCGCTTGGGCAGAAGCCGCAGCCGCACGAAGACCTCTGCGCGCATGGCCGTGCCGAGGTCGGCCAGGCTCGTGACGAGGTGGCCCAGGCGGACGTCCTCGGCGAAGCGCAGGGAGTCCGCCCGCAGGGCCTCCCGCACGCCGCGCTCCACCTCGCAGAGGCGCGCGAACGTGCCTCGCAGGTCCGCGCCGTCGCGGGAGCAGCGCAGGCGCAGGTGGCTCTCCTGGTTCACGAAGGCCACGGTCTGGTACTCGTCGGCCGTGAACACGCCGCGAGCCTTCGGCCAGTGCTTGCCCGCGCCTGTGGAGAGGACGACGTTGGAGTCTGGGACCTTCATCATCAGGCCCTTCTGGGTGAGCAGCTGCTCCGTCTCCTCGCTCATATCGCCTGGAAGGGCCGCGTAGCTGTGGGAGCCGCGCAGGGGGTGGTACTGACCGCCGAGTCCAGGCACACTGAGTAGCGCAGTGGTGATCATTTTCTCCGCCTCGATTTTCTCCGGCTCAGACGCCGCGGGAGGGAACTTCAGGCCCTGGACGTTACGGCACACCCACACCTGGACTTTGGTCACGTAGTCGCCGACGGGGTCCAAGTCACCGACCACAACTGCGCCTGCGTCAAGACAGCTGACATGATGGTCGCGGGCTCGGTCGAAGCCCGCGTGTCGCTCGCGGATCACTGGGTCGAAGAGTGGGGCGAAGAGGTCGTAGCACTCTGCGTCACCCGCCACCAGGCCCATAGTCGATATCATGGGGTGCCCCCCGTTGTCCATGCCTGTCTTGATGCACCTTGCCAGGGAGACGTCCATACTCGTCCGCAGAGCTCGCAGACGCGAGTAGATGGACGGGTCGCCCTTGAGCACGTTTGCCATGAGACTGTGATGGCGGTCGAGAATCGGGAGCTCCTCTGGGCACGAGTCCGCGGGAAAGCCTGGGAACTCCAGCACCCCGAGCCCTGGGTCCTCGTCGTAGCCCTCGTCCTGCTCGTCGTGGGGCGCAGCCGTCGTGGAGTGGCTCCGTGCGGAGCCGCAGGGGGTCGGTGCAGCCAGCTGCGCGGGGAGGGGCTCCAGCGCCTCGCCCCGCGCCAGCCTCGACTCCGCCGACAGCAGGGCGCGGCAACCCGATATCACGGTGTTGACTTGCTCCACCTCGCTGCACCCAAGGCGGTCGCTGTTGAGCACCTCCCAGACCCCCTCCGCCACCGTGAGGCCGCCACCGATGCCGAGGTGGGCCTGAAGCCGGAGCTGGCGGCAGATGGCCCGGAACTGCGGCTCCGCGCTGAGCAGAGGGATCCGGATGATGGCGCTTGCTGCGAGGCAGGTGCCCAAATTAGAAGGGCATGCGCCGAGAAAGCCCAGGTTGGAGCTCTTCGCGAAGGAGTGGCCGGTCGCCTTCAGTGCAACCTCCGTGCCAGCGAGGAGCTCGCAGAGCCGCCCGAACACGGCCTTGAGATCCGAGCCCCCCTGCATTGCCTGCATGCGCAGGTGGTCGGACTCGTTCACCCAGACCTCGAATAGGAGATCGACTACAGAACTGATGCACCCTAAGATTGTTTGCTTCTCCGTCGAGTCTACGAGCATACATATTATAATGTGTCGATCGATTGGGTATTCTGCCAACTGTTCTGCTGATTCGACGATCAGTTTTGGGGTAAATCAGTTATGTAGTCGATCCCCTACTCGAAGACCAGCAACTGGCGGTCCTCGCCCACGAACACACCGCGGGCGTCGGGCCAGTCGCGGCCGAAGCCGGAGGACAGGAGCACCTGGGAGTCGGGCTCGTCGAACAGCAGGTGCTCGGCCTCGAGCCGCTCCTCTCGGCTACGCGCAAGAGTGGCCCTCGGCTTGAGTGACCTTTTTCTGCGCGGAGTACAACCGAAGATATGATCAACAAATGATCATTCAAGAAATCTGGACTGCTTCCTGGACGCTTCTTACAAGCAACCTGGGCCGCTTTCTGTCGTTCACGCTGAAGTGCGAACGTGCTCCATAAGCAGGGCCAGCCTTCTGTCAAGGTGGTTGGGAGACGCTGACCCAGCTTTTCGAGAGAGGTGTCTTAATCAGATGCGCGACTGCAATGGGCCACAAAATTGCCAAATCCAAGCGCGCCAGCAGCCGCTATCGCATCGCGCTCAGCGATCGGAGGGGTCCCGATGAACCCCCACCAAAGGTCACTCCGGCGAAAGGTCACTCTGGAGGAAGAAAGAGCGGCATAAACGTAAACTTCTGGCGCTCGGCACGGATTTCTTGATCTGCGCTGGACCCCCCTGCCTGGCGCGCGGAGCGCGCGAGGGGCGGCGTTGGAGGCGACGCCAGGGGGGGTCCCAGTGCGGATCCACGAACTCCGCGCGCCAAGAGTTCACGTTCGAGCCGTTTCTTTCTTCTTCGAGTGTGTAGCCGGTCCTCATCTTAGTTGGCCCTGGAAACGACAGGGCCGTTTCTTTACCGGTTCCGTTTTGCCTTTTCGTTGCCGGTTCCGACGCCGTTTTTTACCGGTTCCGTCGCCGTTGTTTGACCGGTTCCGGCTCCGGTTCCAATCCTGGAGCCGTTTTTGTTGCCGTCTCCGGTCGCCGTTTTTTGCCGTTCCCATTTTCAAAGGACATCTTTTTGGAAACGGTAAAAGAAGGCCCTGCCGTTTCCGGGGCCCACTGAGCCCTGGGCTGCTGGTGGGGAGGGGCCTGCAGAGGCTGGGGCTGTCATGAATCATGGCCACTTCCACCTCCCAAGGCAGCTGTCAACAAACGCTCCTCCTCCTCCTCCTCCTCCTCCTTCTCATCCTCCTCCTCCTCCTCCTCCTCCTCCGCCTCCTCCTCCTCCTCCTCCTCCTCCTCCTCCGCCTCCTCCTTCTCCTCCTCCTCCTCCTCCTCCTCCTCCTCCTCATCATCATCATCCCCCCCCTTCCTTCCCCTGCCGTTTCCGGGGCCCACAAAGGTCCTCATCTGCCGCGCTCATGCCCTCGGGCTTCGGCGGGTAGCTGCTCGAACCCCGCAGGGGGAAGTACTCGCCCGGCATGGTGCGGAGCGACTGCGCCACCACCCTCTCGACCTCGCGTTGTGTCGAGCGTGTCCCCCTACAGGGGGATTTTCGAGGAAAAATGAAAAATACCCCAAACATATCACAAAAAGGTCAAACAATTCTCAAAACATACTCCCCAGACTATTTTTGGACTATTTTTTAGCTATCTTTGGTTATCTTTTTATTTTTCGTCGAAAATCCCCCTGTAGGCGGACAGGCCCGATGTAGACCTCGCGCCGCTCCTCCAGCGAGCACGCGGGCGGCATGCGGATGCCCTGCAGGTTGCGGGCGATCCTCGCGCGCACGGAGACCACGCGGCCGGCCTCGTCCGGATCGAGGGGCTCGCCGCTCACCTTGGACCAGTCGAGGTCCGTGGGATGCGCGGCGCAGGAGTCCCAACCTGCGGCGCCCAAGAGGGGGGAGGGCGCAGATCATGGCCAGCGGCACGAGCGCGGCCCAAGGGAGGGGGGCCCAAGGACGTTTGAAACAAGAAGAGGGGCCATGAAATCTGGGGAGATATCATGGCCCCCGCCGTGATATCACCCCCCCCACAGTCATCACCCCCCTCTCTGCCGCCCCCCATCCCGAAACCTGGGTGCCGGAGCTTGATGACCGGATCGAAGAAGTCCTTGAATGTACTGTAGCAGAGGTCGTCGCCGGCCACCGCCCCGATCGTCTTGATCATGGGGTGGCCGCTGTTCTCGAGACAGGACTTGATGCAGGTCGTGAGTGACACGCCCATGGCCTAGAGTAAGGAAACACGGCAGAGACAGGTTTTTTGGGGGGGGACCGACGAGCCAGTAAGGTGAGGGAGCGCAGTAAACCGGCAATACGACGAGCCCGGCACGCCAGGTCGAGAAGGCGAGTCAAAGGCACTAGCAGAGGTCGCAAACTACGGCAGAGACGGTCTTCGGAGCTCCGCTCGGAGCTCTTCCGTGGGCTGGATCTCCGTGGAGTAGCGACGGGCCCCCTGTCCATGGGAAATCGCCGACTTCCGCCGCCGGACGAGGCGGCACTGGCCGCACTTTGAGGAGGGCACCTGCCGCGATCCCTGGAGATCGCGAATCCATGTTTGCGCGCCCCCGAAAAACGGCACAACCATAAACTTCCGTCGGCAAGCACGGATGTCTTG